CTAAAAATGCCTTACTATACATGGTCTTTTTTTGGGGCTAAAAATTTCGGCTAAAAACACCTGACTATACATGGTCGTTTTTTTCGGCCAAAAACGCCTTACTATACATGGTCGTTTTTTTTGGCTAAAAATGCCTTACTATACATGGTCTTTTTTGGGGCTAAAAATTTCAGCTAAAAAGGCCTTACTATACAGGGTCGTTTTTTTTCAGCTAAAAACGCCTTACTATACATGGTCGTTTTTTTCGGCTAAAAACGCCTTACTATACATGGTCGTTTTTTGGGGCTAAAAATTTCGGCTAAAAACGCCTTACCACACATGGTCAGTTTTTTTCCGTCTAAAAAATGCCGTACTTTGCATGTTTTTCTTTTCGGCTAAAAAGGCCTTACTATAAATGGCCATGAGGAAAAAAATGTACCCTATTTGCAAACTGCCTACAAAGGCCCAGACTTGGATTCGAACCAGCATCTTCCCACTCTTAAGCTAATGTCCTCACCAGTGGACCATGGTTGCGCAGGTATACCGATATCATCGGGAACAACCAAAACAGGCCTTTGCGTAACTGGTCGCTCAAAAAAAGCTTGAGAAGCAAACCCTGCCGATGATGGCCGAGACCTGGACTCGAACCAGCATCTTCCCACTGTTAAGTTGGCGACCTTACCAATGGACCATGGTGGTACAGGTATACCGAGATCATCAGTCACAACCCAAAAATGCTTTTACATAAATGGTTGTTCAAAAAAGTTTAATATGCAAACTCTACAAATGATGGCCGAGACCTGGATTCGAACCGGCATCTTCCTACCGTTTAGCTGGCACCCTTACCAGTGGACCACGGTGGCACAGCTAAAACAAACTCCTCATTATCAACCCAAAAAGGCCTTTACATACCTGGTCATTCCAAAAAAGCTTGATATGCAAACTCCGCAGATGATGGCCGAGACCTGGATTTGAACACTGCGCCCCTGCGCTGGTAAACCGACACAGTAACTGGTCGACCACACTGGCACTGCTTTATTGAGCTTGTAAGTAACAATCCAAAAAAAGTCTTCCAAAACATGGTCGGTTAAAGCTTTCCATGCCAGCTTCGCAGAGGAAGGCCGAGACATGGATTGGGTTCAAAACACCTTTCTAAAGATGGTCGTTTTTTTCGACCAAAAACGCCTTACTATACATGGTCGTTTTTTTGGTTGAAAACGCCTTACTATACATGGTCGTTTTTTTTCGGCGAAAAACAGCTTACTATACATGGTCATTTTTTTTGGTTAAAAACGCCTTCCTACACATGGTCGTTTTTTTTCCGACTAAAAACGCCTTACTATACATGGTCATTTTTTTTCGGCAAAAAACGCCTTCCTGTACATGGCCGTTTTTTTTGGTGAAAAACGCCTTACTATACATAGTCGTTTTTTTGGCAAAAAAAATGCCTTACTATACATGGTCGTTTTTTTTCGGCTAAAAACGCCTTCCTATACATGGTCGTTTTTTTCGGCCAAAAATGCCTTACTTTACATGGTCGTTTTTTCTGACTAAAAATGCCTTACTATACATGGTCATTTTTTTTGGTTGAAAACACCTTACTATAGATGGACATTTTTTTCCGGCTAAAAATGCCTTACTATACATGGTCGTTTTTTTTTTTTTTGGTTTAAAACGCCTTACTATACAGAGTCGTTTTTTCGGCAAAAAAATGCCTTACTATACTATCGGTGAATTGGTCTCAGGGGTTCGAAAGAGCCTCTGCCTTGGAAGGTAAGGCACACCCGACTCAACATGTCAGTTATGACACGAACGCTTGGCCATCGCTGGCTGGTTCATTTTCTGCACAATTTAAAATACCTATGTCGTGTTTTTTTCTGTTTTTAATAAATACGTTTTTTCGTGTCTCGAATTTATAAAAATAAATAAATAAATAAATAAATAAAATTATTATATTTTTATTTTTCACTCATGAAGGGTTCGGTGAATGTGCATATTAACTGGTTGGGTTCGGTACCTCTCACAAGTTTAAGAACCACTGATCTAATCAGATCCAGTACAGTTTTTTTTTATTATAGGTCGTGCAGCATAATCCTGCCGCCTCATTTTCTGCTTACGTCTTTGAGCTAGTACCTTCATGTTACAAATGAATATTACTATTGCTATAAAGGCAGATTTTTTTTTTTTCCCCGAAGACGTCTTGTACTGGATCCTAATATACAGTGAGTCATCATAATGTTGTGACTGCTTGATGTCAATGTTACACGCTTTTTTTAATATATCCGAAGGAACCAAAAGAACAACCACTCAATATGGCATTTGTGACTGCTTGATGTCAGTGTTACACGCTTTATTATATCTGAACGAACCAAAAGAACAACCACTCAATATGGCATAAAATAGCACAAAGATGGAATTAAGGTGGTGGAATCTCCCCCCCCCTGGACATTGGAATCATCGTTTGGCATCATGCCAAGAAATCAACCTGAATTTAAAAAAAATAAATCAAAATAACAGTCAATGTAACAAAAAAAAAATTAGCTTAAAAACAGTTTAGTTGCTGATATCTTCACCCTATAAGGGGGCAAAACAACAAACGAGCAACTATCAGTAACATCATTAGCATATCAGCTCTTAGTTCAAACCTCGAAAGAGCATTCAGAAGAGTAAATGCTTATTCATGGGCCTCCCAAGTGAGGTTTAAAACACACACACACACACACACACACACACACACACACACACACACACACACACACACACACATTCAAAACTGGACTTGTTGGCTTGCAGCGAACAATACTTAAAAACAATTCAAAAAGGTAAAAGAGACATGTGGAGAGAGAGAGGTAAGGGGGAAAAAAAAATGCCCTGACAGATGTGTGAAGAGTGAGCAGACCAGTGGAGTGTTTGGGTACTATGACACAACGACATGCCTTCATCATGGGTGTTGCGAAATAGTATCTCTTTTACAGTAAGCGTTTTCGAGCTCCCTCGGACTACACCTAGCGAGCGATACAGCAGAGAAGAAAGCCTGTTCACGTTCCACTAGCTAGAGAGAGCGAGAGAGAGAGAAAAAAAGTCACTTCTTCCACACGGTGTAGAAAACCCAGCTGACGTGCACACTTAAGGAAGAAGTACTGTTCGGACTAGTCACATATTTACATTCAAGTTATCCAATAGCTAACTGTTACCTTAGCAGTAATGTGTACTATTATTATTCAAATTTTTCGGGCGGTGTCAATCACTGGCAGATTTTCTGTATTTCCGTTGCGCTTTGGTTCACAGGATAATGAACAAAAGATGCTTGTCTTGTCTCATCACCGCTTTTTGCGTCTTGTTGCGGAAGGATACAGTTCCATGTAGGAGGGCACACAAACCACTTTTTTGGAGAAGTCCACAGGACAGGAGAGTCTTCCCAGCTGCTCCTCATACTGACTCAAAGCCTCCGTCAGATTTGCACTGTTACCCTGGCCGCACGCACAGAGACAGAGGATGTCACAGAGCAGCAATTACTGCACTCTCATTTATTACAGAGGAGAATTTTAAATTTTGGGCGACATTTTAGAAAGGATCATGGAAGTTGACATGTTGGAGCTGCTATCGCGGCCCACATAAATTGAGGTGGTGGGCCAGATCTGGCCCCCCGGGCCTTGAGTTTGACACCAGGGGGTTAGATCATATACACACAAACTCAATATGTGGCAGTGGTGTCGTTATCTTGGTAGAGCAAAGTGCTTACCAAACATCTCATCGGATTGTTCTGAGCTTGTGTTATTGTGCTAGCATAGCAATAGCAAGGTGGCGGAACTCAACTACAGTGCAGTATGATGTATTTATCTGAATGGTATTTGTACATATATAGGCTATTAATAGTCGCTAGGAGCTTCTATCCACTTGAAGAAATCTCATTGGCGTAAGGACAACATTTTGAAATCGAGTGCCCCCGAGCACAGCGAACTGACCTCGGTTTACGCTTTTTTTCCCCCCTATCTCGGCTACGCTAAGATGGAAAGCACTAATTACAGAGATTTGACAAAGATAAGCTTTCTTTTGAACAGCGGATTTGGCCGTCATTTTACGAATCATTAAAGATGACGAATGGATGAAGCAGGCATTTTGGAAAATCCGAATGTAACGCTTCAAGGCCGTGCGCCTGATCTATCGCTCTATTTATCGAAGCAAAACGTCATCGGAAAAATGACTCAAGCGGCAAATAGCGATGAACGGGCTTTCGCATCCCCTTTTTTCGCGGCCGGACCTCCAATTTCATCTGATTGGTCCACAATAATTCTTGACTACAAATAATGGATCTTTGTATGTTGACTTATGGCAGGATTTTTCTAATGTAATATACATGACCTTGGAATTCACCTAAAAAAAATGTCTGCTGCGGTGTACTTGTGCTTGCAAAAATTGGTACCTTTTTGGGCATGTTTAGCCTCCCAAAAAGATCAAATATGTTGCCATAATAATGATAAAAAGCAATTCCAAGAGGGCCTTTCAAAACGAAAACCAACGTGAAACAAAAAAAAAACAAAAATACGAACAAAGCGATGCTCACCTGGGTGAAGTATTTCCCCTTAGGATGCAGGATTTTTATTGATAGATCCAAAATGAGACGGAGGAACTCCCATGTTGAGTCTGCAAAAATAAATGACATCATTTTTCACGTCGGGAACGAACGGGCATTTTTCGGTCCGTATTTAAAAATGGCAAACCTTCTTCTGGTTCTGTGGATATCGGGACTGCGGTGAGATCGTTAATAATGTAGTCAAACGTTCTCCCCTCCAGCACGTACTTCTTAAGCACGGGCACGCAGTCCTCCACTAGAATCTGGCAACACATAGCAAAAGGGCGGCGGCGTCCTCGGTCACCATTTGGAACAAAGCGACGTGGTGAAAGAGTTTTCCGATATGTGTCGTGCGAAAAGCCAAAGCAAAATGTTTTTGTGGCGACCGTAACCGCAATCGCCCTGGAGTACTCACTTGGTAACAGTCCCCCTTCAGGTTGTCCAGCACATTGCCGCACGTCTTCCGCATGTACTTTTTGCACCCGTCGATCACCTTTTGATCAATGTATTCAAGGTGGTCAAGGAACAAGGCTACAACGATACAACCGAGTGGTTTTCCTCAGAAGGAGATCAATGAGCAGAGCAGTTCAGGATATCTCCACCATGGTGATCATCTTTGGCTTTTGTTTGACGGCCTGAGCGAGGATGCCTCCGTCGCCTCCTCCCAAAATCAGCACTTCCTTGCCGGCGTAGTCCTCCTTCCCGCCGCCCATGATGGCTTCCGTGTAGGGCAAGTCGCTCTCCGCCAGATCTGCACGGATTCCGTCATGATCAAAACGCGGCACGGACGCACGCGGCATTCCGTCGTGTCGGCGGACTTGACGAGACGCACTTACTGACATCTCCATTGAGGACCAGCATGTTCCCAAACTGCTGCGAGTGCAATATTTTGATGTTTTGGTATGCGGAGTCTTCGTCGTACAAGACGCGATCTATGTCGTACTCGGTCAGCCTTCCGTCGGTGGTGGGCCAGTACCGGTCCACTTTGGCTCCTCGGATGAGAGGCGGGAGCCTGTTCGCGGCGACCAGGAATGAACGCCGTCTGCAACTCTCGGGGGGCCTCGAGATGATGCAGCAAATCGGAGTCGAGGGGCTTACCTTTTGACGCGCGTTATCTTGCCGTTGAGGAGAACCTTTAGTTTCTTTTCCAGTGTATTTAAAAGCTGAAGAAATATAAATTGAATAGAGCTTTTTATGAGTTCCTCTGAGGTTTTCAACAGTTTTTAAAAGTTCATGGACAGTCTCATCAGCGCAGCAAAACTGATCATGTGGCCTGATCAGTCTTTCTTGCAAAACCTCGCCAAACGTTCGGAGATTGCTCTGCATTTTAATTTGTTCTCCCTCACGGCTATTTTCTTTCTCAACTGAATCGCAGCATTTTTTTGTCCATTCTTTATTACATTTGGACAAATCTGTGTTGACTTTCTAGCAACTGCACGTTATGCTTGCAAAAAGAATTGGGAGCCAATCATATTTTCGGATGTGTATGTTGTTCAAGGGACCTACACTGTCTAGTTGAGCAATGTTATCGCCTTCATAACACTGCAGGTCAATCGTGAGCAACCCGTGGGCGTGCAGCCGCAAAATAACAAGCCTGTGGAGTAAAGAGGTGAAAAAAATTAATGGACATCAATCAATAAAATGACATTTGCTGCGCTAAATGGATGCTCCGCACCCACACAGGTCAACACGGTTATTCAACTTGGATAAAACGTTAGTTTTTTTTTTTCTCTTAAGTATTGACCTGCCGTTCTTTCCGACAAAGGTGGCGAGGTATCCGCGCCCGTCTGTGTCATGCACGGTCTCTGTCATTTCCTGCTCGTGGAATATGGACAGGAGCACCGGGACTGTTGATGCAGAGTCAACTGGGAACGAGAAACAAGAGTGCAGGGTTGAAAAAAACAAACTTTGTCTCTCACCTATGCATCATTTGGCAATTATAGAATCTTCAGGCACAGTCAAGAATAAAAAGTCACGTACCCTACACAATTATAATTGACGTCAGAAAAGAAAGAGGCTGCGGCCACTCTCTCACATATGCTCCCCTCTCAGCTTTTACGATCATGTTCACTTCATCGCATGTCCTCTCATTTGCAAATTCTTTACAGGCATTTTAGTACTGCATTTCCACTCCCACCACACATTGTTCGCCTGGCTTCATACTTAGGGTTTTATGTTCTTCAAGATAGTTTGTGGGTGTTGTAGCTACATTGGGGGCTGGGGGGAAAAAAAGGAGCCTCAAATAAAACTCCAAGCGGTTACCCCAGAGCTTGCCATGTGTTTAGTTGCTTGTCGTCTCTTACCGCTCCTTAGCAGAAAAAAAAAAGCCAGGGCTTTTCATTGAAAAGGGACAAATCCATGATACCTCACTGCAGCCTATTTTACGTTCAAACAAGGGGGCAAAGGTACCGGTCCGTCCTGTTCAGTTGCATAGCAAGCAGAGAAAAATAATGCACACCGGAGCTGTTCCGCCGTCATGTCCCTACGCCCTAACCCACGGTGAATGCTGCACACAAGCGCCACTACTGTTATAACTCTCAGAATAATTCGGTGCAGTTTTACACAGTGTGAAAGTCTCCCCAACACCATAACAAAGTATTAAATGGCTCTCAAAGGAGTGTGTTGTTATTTTTTATTTGTTTGTCTCTTTTATTTGTTTCTTAAACATGTGAATCACTTTGTCAATAATCCTCACTGTTTGCTGATGATCTGTTGACACTTGGATAATCGCAGACGCCACATGCTTGGTTTGATCAGGTCCGTTGCCTCGAGTCAACAGATAGAATCCACCAAGATCCAGACACTCCTACCCTCAGTCGCTGCGCTAACCGCTCAACCAACTGAGCCACAGCCACCAAGCAAGTCCAACAAGCTGTTGGTGTGCTGCTGGGAAGCTGGTGACACCAGCAAGAGTCGAGTTATTACTGTACCAGGTCCTGGCAACATTCTGACTCTGCTGAGGCTCAGTTGGTAGAGTGGGTTGGCCAGTAGCTGAAAAGGTTCAGGAGTTCGAAGCTTGGCTGTTTTGGCTTGCTTTTGCTGCTGATCAGCATGAGAACATGACAAAACAATCCTGGTCTCTGATTTATTATTATTATTATTATTATTTAGCAATGAAGGAGAACATCGGCTATTAATCATGCTGGGGTTACTCCAAAAGAATAAAGATCATTTATACAGATAACCGTTATGATATGGCGACAATAGTTTTATTATAAATTAAACGGCGATTTACGTCGAATCTAAAAAACGCATCGATGTTTCCCCCATATTAAGATGAACGCACGTCTATGACAAATTTTCACTCACTTCCGGTGCCACTGCGCTATGTTTAACATGACCGCAAGATGGCGCTGCCATCACCACCAATGACAGAATGACAAACTATTCAATGGATAGCGTTTAAAAAACCTGACCCCCCAAAAAATGACGTACACATTGAAAATGTGACTTTTTAAGTCATCCACCATGTATTCCCATCCAATGCTGAGAGTTTGCAAGGTAAATATCAGTTCCACGTGCATTCTGTCGACGGCGTTTCATTCAAAAATCGCTATTAACATTTTGAAGGGCAGTGACATCGATCGTAGCAGGTTAACGTGCGCTGGAAGCTAGCCGGCTAGCTTAGCGCGCAGCCCACCGCCACCAGAGTACGGTGGCCGGGGACCCTCTTACCTGCAGTCGAGAGGCTGAAGTCGAGAGTATAGTGTCGCAGTGCCATGTTTGGAGACAGCCGTTATCCATTCCTGGCGCAGGCAGGCGCGGTGGGTGTGCGTTTAAGTTCAGAGCCGGAGTGGAGGAGAGGGAAGGGGAGGGCCCTCCTCGGCAACATCGGCCGGACGAACTAAAGCGGCTCCAATGCGCCGTGAGCAAAGAGTGGTGACGTGAAGCATGACAGTTCCCCTCCTCCCCGAGGCGGTCAGACGCTCTTCGTTTGTTGACAGAACATTGGAGCCGAATATTTGTAATAATCGAGCAGATTACCATATAAAGTGGCTCTGAGACAACGTCTGGTCACCCCAGGGAAGTCTGACATTTGTCACAAACTTTGTTTTCATTGGCATGATTCTGAAATGCATGTTGGTCAAACTCAATTTGTGAGCCTGTTTACAGGGTGGACAGTGAGATGGACACAATGTGGAGCGTAGAAACCTCGGCCCATTTCTCAGTTTGCAACGGAGTTCCATTTCCATTCAAAATGTGTGTACCTAAGCGGCAATGTATGTTCTTTCCCTAACCCACGCAATAACCTGTTACAGTAAAGATTTACACACACTCAAAACCCCCTTCAAGGCCATGAATATCAAATAATCACATTACAATTGGGAAGAAAGTTAGCGGACTGAACTGAGCATGCTTTCTTATGCTGCGTGACTACTTTTTCCCGCTTGGGTACTTACTATTTACTCGGCTGCACTGCACTAGACAAGCAGCATTTCCTTTAATAGGTTTTATTCCATTTTAAAATTGCACGGATACATAAAATATGATGTTGTTTAACTTGATGTACAAATGTGAGTACACATTTGGACAAACAGGAGTTGATGACAAGGTTTTGGGACAATTCAGAAATCCATGGGCATGGAATCAACAAGAGTTGGAAGAAAATGACAGTTCCAACTAATTCTAATACTAGTGCGTATTCACAAACACTGACAGTGCTGATGATATTATTTAATAATACACGGTTATGCACGAAGCCCATTGTTTGTACTAGTTGCCATGCTGACGGGAGAATGGCAAACCGTTGGAGTCAATATCCTTGATATTGATATTGATGGTTGAAATGGTCAAAATGCCCACAAATCCTCCACTTCCTGCATAAAAAGGATACTTTGACTCTGATATACAGGATTTCTAACTGTTGCATTCATTTGTAACTACAAAATACAATTGCAAGAAAAAAAATTCAGGAGGGGGACCGTCAGGGCCTGTCATGACCTTCGCCCAGTATCATCCAACAGCAAGCAGCAGCCCATCAAAAAGTAAAACCGCCACAATCAAAAGCATTGAAGTCGGCGTCTGCCATTTCAAAGTCAAAGCTGTTGAAGTGGGGGGAGGTTATGGCGGGGCTATCTGTGTGGTACACCACCGCCGGTCCCCCGATATCGGAGAAGTCTGTGTTGAGAGGAAGGTCGGCTGCTTTGGCGTCCAGGCCGGAGGGTGAGCACGCGCCTAAGTAACCCATAGCGGAGGAGGCGGCAGCTCCTCCCATCAGCAGGTACACGGCCCTCACTGCCTGAGCGTTGTTGATGTTGCCATGACGCAGGCAGCCCGCTGAGTGGCCCCCTCCTTTGTAATACTTTGTACGTGGAGAGCTCCTGCCTGTTTGACACAAGTGGCAAGAGGTACATAGGCATGTATGTACTTTAAAGTCCTTTGTGGGGAAGGAAAAAAAAAATCCTGGGTTTTGCTAACCCACTCACCGGATAGCTGTGAATTTTGAGCAGATTGAGTTATTGTTACCCAAGGTTGGGTTCTGGTCATTATTTTGCCCCAACAAATTAGGTTGAAAATTGCGTCCTAACCCCGTTCACTCTACTACTTTTAACTGTCATCAGCGACCAAAAATTCAAGTGACTTCGTCGAGATCAAGCTGACCTTTATCCTTTGGAGAGCTGGTCTGAGGCCCCGGAGAAGGAGCCTCTCCATTGCTGATCGGCAGAGTCGGTGGATCTTTGTCCTGGATCTGGTCGGGGACGAGGTCTTTTAGAGCGATGCAGAGCGGCGGCACCTGATGTCGCTTGCAAAGACCGAGAGTTGACGAGACGCTCTGCGAGGAAAAAAAAAAACACACACAAGGTTTGAATTTAAGGACACGGTAGAAGTGCGTAAACACAAACAATCTAGTACTTGACATTTAGAATAATAAAATTTGTACTACTATCACTGTTGCTATGACTGTTGTTGTGCCCATTGTTCTCATATCTCCTTTGGCTGCTCAACCCCTGTGTTCTTACTTCTCATAATGTGTGAAGAGTATGATTCTTCTGTTATTGTAAAGCTTTGACTCACCTCTTTCACCTTTTTCAGCACATTCAGCCACTGACTGCAAAGGAGAAAAAAAACGTACTATTATCTTGTTACTTTTCAAACGGAGGCCATGTCGATTGCGCAACCAATTAAAACACTTTCTTTTTTTCATTAATCAAAAAGTTGAGGACTATAAAGATGGTTGATATATCATAGCAGATACAACAATGGATTTATATTACCCGGTAATACGGTAATATCAATCCATCCATCCATGTTCCAGTACAATGTAACTATGCCCTCTAGTGGCTGCGATTGGTATAGTTGATCACGTTCACAGCAACCAAGGGCATCTCGTCTTTCATCTTGGAATTCACACAATATTAAGATGAAACATTTAGACCAGCGATAGCATTCTTGTAAATGCTCTATGCAGCTTTCCAAAATCATTTTTAATGTCAGACCTGCAGTCAGCAGGGGTGTCGGTCAGTAGGAGCAGGTATTTGTCGTGGGTCAATATGAGGGCGAAGCAGCAATCTCGGCTCCCTCCGGCGGGCAGCTTTGGCAGGTCGAGGATCTCCCTGCCTTCCACGATGGCCTCGCAGCTGCTTTGTAAGAGGACCAGCTGGTCAGGTGGAGCTGAAGCGTGGTGACACACGAGGAGGCTGCCTTCAGCTGTCAGGAGCAAGAACCTCTTCTTCCATTGTTTGAAAAGAAATCCACCTTGACAAGAGGGGGGGGGGGTTGGATTTCAGTTTCAACTCTTCAAACTAAAAACAGCCCCCCCCCCCCACACACACACACACACCTCCTCCCCACACACCTCCTCAAAAAAATTAATGGGGGGGTGGAGTGGGGATGGACCGATATCTTGCTCGGATCAGTTTGATCCAACGTTCTGCAAAATATGATCGTTTTTCTTTTTTTTACAAAACAAGCCAAAAAATTGGGTCCTTTCCTATAAAACAACCCCAAAAATTGGGTCATTTTGAACAAAACAACCCAATTTTTTTTTGTGATGAGATCATCATTATTTCAGTTACATACTATTTCAGACATTATTATTTGGTGATGTACAAAAAAAATAATATAAAATCAGTGCCTCTGCTAAATCTTGGGAAACGCTGGTACAGATGATGGAATCATGAGGAGCTGCTGGATTACAGCATGAACACGCTGTCAACAGATTAGAGGCAGTCAGATGTTTGGCGGATCAACGCACTGCACCAATCAGAGCAGAAAAATAATAGTGTGCCTCGATCAAAATCACACCCTCGCATCTGGATGAGCACTGCGCAGACAGCAATAAACATATTGTGCTTAATGAAATTAAAAAAAACATTCCGACAAGTGGCTGATTCAAACGCAAAACCTGCAGTCTGATCTAAACTTGTTCGTTCTCGTGCGAAGACATGACCGTGACTTTTAAGCGCGCGTTCTATTTGTGTGCCAAGCTACTCATTTTGTTGAATAGATGAGAGGAATCTGAATTTTTTTTTAAAATAACCAGATGTATCCTAAGCATAAAATCATCCAGAAACTGCAAAGCTGTCAAAAAAAAAAAAAAAAAAAAGTCACAAAGCCTCAGACTTGTACAAAACAATCTTTGGACTCACCGTACATCCTCAGTGTTCCTTGATGGATCCCCGAGACGCTCATGTTGACAGCAGTTGAAGTGCGACTGACTGACTGACTGACTGACTGCGCAGGACGGGCGCAAAGCACATGAGGCTCAATGTGAGTTTTAATGCCTTAATCCTCATTCCGCTGGGACGTCGCTTTTGCATCAGAGGCGGTTGCAATGGCACGCACAAGCATGTGGCCCTGCCTTTCATTTCTCACCACGCCAAATCTAATCAGAGCCAATGCAAGCGTTGGATCAAGAATAATTTACGGACCAAGCGAAACGGTTTGCTTGGATGGTGTAGTGGAACCGAGCCCAGACCTCAAGCCCTTCACACCCTCTCTCTCTCTCAAATCCAAGAGCATACCGTGAAGTGAGCATTCTCGTTTTGATGAAAGGAAGGATATTTGAGAGAGCTCTTGTATTGGATCTCATGAGGAATTGATGAGAAATCGCTCACGAAGTAGCCAGTGAGCGTGCGTCTGTACAGTGTTGAGATTACGTAACTACAGTTCTGTTTCGGGCTAGAGAGGCTCAACCCTCTAAACCCTCTTCGGCTGAGTTATCATCCAAAACCTTCCCGGCAGCGAATAACCTGCTGAGGCATCGACATCACTCATGTGAGCACAATCCCGACGAAAGCAACTCTATGGGAAAGTGTTTTCTTTATTCATCCGTCACTGATTCGTGTACGAGCGCAGATGAGTTGCTGTCCTACGGACCCGCATTTCAGTACACCAAACCAAAGATGATGAGATCGGCGCAATTCATTTGATCACCATTTGGACAAGAATTCAATAAATATTCTCCATCTAAACAGAAAACGCATATATATTCAAAACCAATAAATAATATCTGAACGTGATGTGCGGACTTGAATAAATAATTTCTTCAACGACTGACCGTCTGAAATTCACACTGTGATGCAGTTTCCTATAGAAACAAATTCAACAAACAGACCAATAGTGTCTTACAGCGACACAAAATTACCCGAGCTGTTTGAATTGATGTGGTGCATATTCGTAATTTTTTTTTTTTTTTAAATAGTCCACAACACTAAAAAGAAGTTCTCAAAGCGTTGTAGTTCAAGACTAAGAAAGCTGATCTTCATATTGCTTTCGGAAGCAGTCCCCAGCGGGGAAGAAGTCCCAGCATCTCTCTTGGTACATTTTCCACACATATGACTCCTAACGTATCAAATGAAGAGAAGGTCAGGATTAGAATTAGAAGACAAAGTTGCTGCCTATCACCAAAAAGTCTCAAAATAAATGAAGAGAGGCCAATGAAGAAAAGCAAGAGTGCTCACCTGTCCGGTGTGCTCGGTCTCATCTTTGTTGATGAGATACATTAAGAAGAACCTGCAAGGGATCACGCATTTGAATGTTTCTTCATTGTCTGTGTATTCATGACGCAGGTTCGCTCACGCACGCAAGCACACGCTCACATGTAATTGGCCAAGTTGTGCTCATCCAGCGTGTGAGTCTCAAATCCATGCGGCGTTGTATCGAAGTAATCACTCCCGATGCCGCAGATGAAGCATTTGGTCTGGAGATAAACACCAAAAAGTTGGTGAGCCACATTCGACTGACATCGCCGCCGAACTGCCAAGTCGTAAGAGCTCATTAGCATACCTCCATGTCTTCTTTAACCTGCTCTTGCTGATCTCGGAGCTCTCCGAATGCGTCAATGATCAAACCTGCACAGAAATATTTGTCACAGCACGTTACCTAATGTGTTGTTTGGTAACTTAAGCAACGCTTTCTTTTACCTTGGATGATGGCCAGCAGGATGACGATGACAAAGAAGAAGAAAGTTATGTCAAAGACCACTCGGTATAACTCATATTCATCCCCGGCGGGATCCTCGATCTCATCTCCGATGCCTCCGCCAGCGCGTACGCCCACATACATGTGGAACAGGTAGCACTGTCGCGAGAGCGAGAGAGCGAGAGAGAGAGAGAGAGAGAGAGAGAGAGAGAGAGAGAGAGAGAGAAAGAGGGAAAAAAAAAGTATTTACAGGTGTCTCAGGAGCAGGCGGGAGCACCGTACACGTGGAGGTTCGTCCCAGGTCGGCAACGACTCACCGTCATCATGTCGTCACATTTCATATCGGGTTCGTCCTCGTCTTCGCTCTTGTTGTAGAACTTGCGGAAGAAGTTGAAAGCCACCACCGTGTACAGATACACCACCACCGCAAGCAGGCCCACTGTCATCATCAGCTAGAGAGGGACGTAACGGTGAGAGCCATCATACGAAAAGATGGGTTCAAATACAAAATGGAGTCTTGGTAAATCCAGTATATCGGGTATCATGATTTTATTTTCTTTCACATGCCTGTTTTCCGTTGTGTGTCACAGAGGAGAGAATGGTGCGGAGGGTCTTGACGCCCATGGCGATGTCCAGCAGATGGCATGCGAAGAAGAAGTTGTTGTAGTGGCCAAGCAGGGACATAATCAGGTACCAACACAAGTAGAGGAAGGTCTGAAAGAGATATTAAAAAAGAAAAAGAAAAAAAGAGCTCTGGCTGACGGAGATGGAATTACGGAGCGGAATCTTAATGCTGCGGCAGCTTTGCTCAAGACAGCGAAGAAACTGATTGTTGAAAAAGCAGCATTGTGACCCTTATGTTGTCAGTCAGGGGTGTCAAACTCATGTTGGTAGTTTTGAAGCTTTACTCGGAGGGCCGTTAGGACAGTGAAAACTAAAGAAATGTCTGATCATCTCATCGTATTGGAAAGCAATACTCAAAGAAATGGATAGATTACTTGTTTTGAAATCAGAAGTCAATGAAAGTCGCGTGTTCAGCTACTGTTGAAGTTATGGTAAAAAAGGGTAAAAGGCCCAATTTTTGCCCTTGGGGTCTAGTAGAGGTACAGTCCAGTAACAGAGTAGCACAAGTTCGTTGTGCTTACGCCGTCTGTGAACACAACGCCAAATTTCCAGATCTGGTACTTGATGTCGATGGCAGTCGCCCTGAAAAGACAAAACACACAACCCGTTCTTATTCGTCCCATCTGCTAGCCTGGTATGCGTTTGATTTGCCTACCACGCAAACGTTGAGGTGTCCGATTCCTCTTGTTTCTTTTCGTGCTGCTGACTCACATCCAAAGACGCTAAGTCCACACCCAGAAGTTCAGCGATTCTTTCCCGTCCGTAAATATCTCCGTATTTATCCAAAACCTGAATACAGACATTAGACTCCAGCAACAGGTTCGGACTTGCATTTTAACGGCAAAGCGACTCCACTTACCTTTCGTTTCACAAACTTATCCCAGTAGTTGTTGGGGAAAGAGCTGGAAAGGGGAACAGCAAACACGATTGACCACAGTCATTTGAGGTATGAATCCATATTTGCGAAAGGTGTCCTCCTGCTTACGGCGTATTCAGGACCAGTCGATCCCACTGGCCCTTGATGTCTTCATCCTCCGGCTGCTCCGTGATGTAGAGGCCGTCAAACTCCAGCTTTCTTGCGAGTTCTTTCTCCCGTTTGAAGATCACCAGCGGAATCTGATTTGGGAACCGACGCAAATATTCTGTTAAGGGGTGGGGGGGACGATCCCGAGCCATCAAATTGAAGACAACAAGCGAAGCTGTGCCCACTTTGAGGCAGTTGTAGCCGATGATGCAGATGAAGGAGATGAGAGTGTGGACAATGGCGAGGAAGGACAGCGTGGGCTGCATGTAGCCGGTGCTCTCCTCTAAATAGTAATAGAGGGGCACATCTTCCTCATCCTCATCCCCGTCGCTCATTCCAGAAGCGTCGCCCTCATCTCCGGAACCCTCAAAGAGAGCGGAGCCTTCGAAGAAACCACTTCCTTCTGCCAGCCCAGATCCTTCCACGTCTTCGCCCTCAGGGGGGCTGTCGGATACCTTGCACCAAACAGACAATGCCAAGCAAGTATTATTATCTTGACGTGCCGTCACTATTCGTACTAGTTTTATAAAATACAGAGCAAGAAAGTTTGATGACAATATCTCACCTTGTAGAAGAGCAGAATGAAGTTCAACGCAAAGGCGAGGAACAGAGCCAGAAATCGCAGGTTGTAGAAGTTTCTGGAAAGGTAGTTCTGTCAAGGAGGGAGAAAATATGAATGAGCCATCCATCCGTTTTTCACACCGAACAAAAGCAAACATACTGAACGATATATTATTGTCATTATAATGAAAACAAATGAGGATGTGTCAATTTGGAGTCATCGCAATGATGTGAGAAAAATGTCGTTCACCATGAATTTGTTTCTCTGTGTTTCCAGCTCGGTCCAGATTTGGAATCCGCCTCCCTTCTTGGGCTTCTTTTCTTTTTTCACTGCAGATTTCTTTGGTTCATCGGCATCCACTTTGGCGTGACTCTCGGATTCTCTCTCTGCTTTCTCGCCGTTTTCGACACTGAAAACGTTTGTTGCATTACTACCACCGTGCGTTTTGTTTTATTGCCATTTGTTAGCGGAGTAGAGCATTTCCTCGTTGTCTTAGCGTACAATGCGGAGACACATTTTTTTTTTTTAGGTTAGGTTTTACGATATGCCCTGCCAAATAAACTCGGAGAGAAAGGAATGAAGCGCTATACTCGGCCTTCTCTGGTTCCGGGGGCGCTTCTTCAACGGGTGCTGGCTCTGGAGGCTTCTGACTGGCATCGGCCTCTTCTGGCTGCTGCGATAGAAGAGAACCACACAAAGGAGTCAGGAACCTTACAGCGCTTTACCGTTACATTTCCAAATGGACCAACACAGACCATTTTCCTCTTGGTGATAGGTGTCCCTTCAGGGGTTGGTGGCTCGACCGGGGCCTCGACCCCCATGTCACCAAGACCACCAGGGGCATCAATACCGGGTACCCTTCCCCCTTCCTTCTCCTGGGTATCCTCCTCCTCCTCTTCCCCACTACCGGTGTCTCCAGTGTCCGTAACCCCGCCCGTGTCTTGCTCCTCACCTATCCCGGGTTCCCCGGGTCCATCGCCATGCACGTCGTCCTGCGTCGGATCCGGCATGCTCGCCAAAATCTCTGTCACCGTGATATTTTTAGCTCCTTCCACTAAGCCGCCTCCAAACAGGGCGTGCCAGATTATCATAAAGAAGCCTTTGCACACATTGTAGAAGAAGTGCAGGATGCTCATGAGGACCGCCCAGAAGAAGGTGGACAGGGCAACCACAATCTCTTTTAGGGTCATCCTCCTCACTCGCCGATATTGCCGGCGGAGATTACGGAAGGTGAAAATGCTGAAGAAGCTCAACGTGCTGTTTATGAAGTCGGCAAAGGCCGAGCTGGACTCCGGCGGCGCCTCCTCGCCATTGGCGTCCTCTTCTCCTGCTCCGATGGCCGCTCCCGCTCCTCCTTCCCCTGCAGCTTCCTCGAGCTCATCCTCCTCCTCGCCCTTTTCCTCTT